GGGCTCCAGCGATCCTTCCGCTTCAGCCTTCCAGTAGCTGGAACTACAGGTGTGCGCTACCACGCCCGGCTAATTTTTTTATTTATAGCAGAGATGAGGTCTCGCCAAGTTGCCCAGGCAAGTCTCGAACCCATGGGCTCAAGCAATCCACTCACCTCGGCCTCCCAAAGCACGGGATTACAAGCTGCGCCACCGAACCTGGCCATCTTATTTTTCTAATCTGAGCATTTACTAGGCATAGTACATTGTGCTAAACCATCAGAGAAAAATTTGATCTGCATCCTGACTTCTAATAGCTCACAGTCTCATTTTATATGACAGATTTGTGAATTTCCAGCATCCAAAATAAATGGCAAGATTAAGTAATATGAAAGGTATAGAGAAAGGCATGATAAATTCTAACTAGTGGCCATATAAATGGCAAGGTATTTGCATCTCTAAAATGAGATGCCCCAGGGCAAAGAAGGCTGTATAAGGATGTGTGACCAGGAACTGCCGCGCCACTAAGATACAGTCATTCACTCTTTTTCCTCTGTGCCCTTCACAGAATCAATTTCTGCTAACGTATATGGCCAGATCATATGCCTCAAGGCCAGGATGTTCTGACTTGGCTCTCCTAAGCTCTCAGATGGTGTTCTTTCTCAGCGTCTTCCTTGGAAGGGGGATGGGGAATCATAGGCCCAGAAGGTCTCATGGGATCTCATGTTACTGCCTGTCTCTGCCTCCCTCTTATTTCTTCCTCTGCTTTATAGTTTTTGTAAATACTAGGAAACTTATATTTTTGAACTTGGGGAATTATTTATACTAGTGTTTAGTACTTTGATCCTGTAAATGTTTACTTATCATACAAATTTGAATGATATTATAAACTCACAACAAAATAACAAGTCTGGTTAGCCAGTGTCCTGGTGATCAGATCTCATGACTTGATTGTCCCTTGTTCCCCCGTACAATTTAGAGTTTATATCTTCATTTACATTGATGTATCTTTCTTTTTGGTTCAGGGAAAGAGCTCCTGGATAGGAGATCTGAATTCTGATTCTAGGGTTAACTCCTGACCCACTGTTATGGCCTTGGACAAGTAGTCTCGCTTCTCTGGACCTCAAATTCTCAAGCTGTAGGTGAGAGAGTTTGGAGGTGGGAGGAGGATGATGGTGATAAATGATAGCCTGGACTCTGGAGACCCTTCCAGTTGCTATAGTATGTGAGTTACTGTATAAAGTGGAGCCATTTTGTGTTTAGCCTTAAATTTATGAATTTTCTCTAGCATAAATGATGATATATGCCAGAGGATTTTGAGAACTCTTCCTTCTTAAATAATTTCAGGCTGTGGAACTGTGGATCCAATCTTGCCCTCAGCTCCATCAGTGTCTTTTGTTCTTAGAATTCTTCACTCATCTTATCCTTGTTTTGCAGTGAGCTTCCTGTAGGGACCGCATACCCCTTAGAATCCTCTAACGTTGTTTTCAGAATTCTTCTATCAGTCATCTTCTCTCTATTAGAACCTTTATAATTTTACCACCATTCCATTTCTGGTAATAAATGATGAGACAAGTGTCAAGCCATTGAGTATTTAGTAATTACTATTTTCTTATATTTAATATCATCAAGTCCTCAAAAAAACACCAGAGAATGGGTATTCTCTTTGGCATTTGAAAGTGTGGGAAACGAAGTGCACAGAAGATCAAAAGTTTTGTCCAAGGTCCGGCAATAAAGTAGTTTCAGAACCTGCTTCTGGAAAGTCCACATCAGGGTTATTTTTGTTACACATTGTTCCTTTGGAGTTAGCCATAGATGATGTGAAGGGCCACTGAGAACATGAATGGTTTTCAATTTGTAACTGTGATGACACAAAGTTTTTTGGAAATATTTGTTCTTTCATTTTACTTTCAAAGCTTGCTTTGCCCTTTTTCCAGTAAACCCTAGAAGTAGACCCTGTCTATCTCTGCCCCAGAAGTAAGGACCAGAGATTGTTAAAACCAAACCAGTGGATCATAATCTAAATCTTTGTGTAATTATGACTCATTGGGTCTGAGGTGGGACCAGCTCTCTGTATTTAAGTTTCTCAAAGATAACTTTGATGTGTATCTCTGATCTAATCCAAGGTTTTCCTTTTATAAATAGGGACAACAAGCCTTAGGAAGATGAAATGGTATGGCCAAATTCACTCAGCCAATAGGCAGTAGAGCTTGGCCAGGACTCTCATTCTCATATTTGACTCTGCCTGCCATAAAGCGAATACCATTTATCTCATAGGGATCTTGTGGGAACTCTTTCCTTTACACAGGTAAAAAGGGGCTTTGAAGACAGATCTGATTCAGATCTAGGCTCTGCCATTTTCTAGCTGTGTGACCCTGTAGTTCATTATTAACTTCTCTGAAGCCAGACATGGCTCACACCTGCAATCGCTTGAGCCAGGAGTTTGAGACTAGCTTGGGCAACGTAGCAAGACCTTGTCAGTACAAAAAATAAATAAAAACATTAACCAGGCATGGTGGTGCATGCTTATAGTCCCAGCTACTTGGGAAGCTGAGGCAGGAGGATCACTTGAGTCCAGGAGGTTGAGGCTATACTGAACCGTGATTCTGCCAATTCACTTCAGCCTGGGTGACAGATTGAGACTTCAACTCAAAAAAAAAGAAATAAAGAAAAAACTCTGACCTTCTGTTTCTTCATCCAAAAATTATGAAGCCAATATCTACCTCATGGGTAGACTAGAGACACATTGTTGGTGCTTAGTAAATGGCAGCTGTGATTATTATAGTCAGTATTATCCTTTTGGTTCTCATTAATTCTCTGTGTAACATCTATATAGGGTATAGTTGTGACTAAAACAGTAACAGTTACCTTCCAAGCATACAAGTGGGCTGGAAAAGCAACTAGTACCACTTAGCCAGTCTCGAGGTCTCAACCAGCTCCGTTTGTACTCCAGAACCAGGAGCAGTGAAAATGACTAAGTACTATGCTAAATGTTTTATATCAGATGATCTCTAATCCTCACAGCAGCCCTATAGAGTATATATTATCCCTATTAAGTGGTAAGAATCAAAGAGGTTTATTGACATGCCCAACGCCACAGAGATAGGAGTCAGCCTTTGAATCCAGCCTGGGGCCAACATTGTCTTTAGTCTAGCACTTTATGGGTTCAGAGACCCACTGAGGCTTAAGGGTGGGGATTTTTTGGGGCGAGGGGTAAAGATAAAAAGGTCATTGAGATAAGAGAGCTAGTCATTATTTGGCCAGTCATCTTTTCCAGAAACTCCAGCCAACCTCCCCTTTCCTGCTCCTGTTATCACTAGCCAGTCGATAGCTGGGCTGGCCTGGGCTGGGTTTCTCTGCTGAAATCCTTCAGATCTTTCCTGTTCTAGAGTTTTGCAAGAAAGTGGGAGGAGTGTTTGTATGCTGGGCAGGCTTCCCAGGGGTGATTGTGGAAAGGAAGGGGAGTGATTTTGTAGGCCCTAAAAAGCCAGGAAGAAAGGAAAAAATAAACCCCTGTTTAAAAGAAAACAAATTGACTCAGGCATTTGCAGGCATAATCTTTAGTCTAGACTTAGAGATAGAAGCCCAGTCCAGAAGTCTAGAAACCTCTATTTTTTTTCTTGCTGTGTAACTGACCTCCTAATGACCCAAGACACATCATTACAGCAACCTTACTGCCAAGTACCAAAATCAGCCCAGCCACACATTGCTTAATGTTTTCCTCAATTTTTCCCATTCTCTTCTACCCTCAAGGAAGGGTACCTTATCTCATTCAACTCTTAAAACTACCCAGTGAGAGACAGATAGGCAGACCAGGGATTATCCTCCCTAATATGATAGGTATAAATTGATACTCAGAGAGACCTGGGCATGATCTCACAGCTGGTTAATGGCAGAACTGGAACCAGGATCCCGGTCTCCTGACTCCTGTCATGTGTGCGAAGTTCACTTGCTGAGAGTAGGATCTCAACCCACTTGGGTCTTTTGACTCCAAATCATGCATTCTTGCTATTTTGTTTACTGAGTTTCACACTGCCTTGCTGTGATTATGGGGCAAAAGCCTGAGCAGTGGGGACAGGGTCGGGTAAAAAGGAGATGTAGGGAACTGAAAGGAGGAAAAGGAGACTGTCTCTTATTCATTATACTTTAGTAAGGACTTCATATTTACTGTCAGTTTTCCCTTCATAGAAGAAAGAAAAAATAAAGGTTAGATGTGTTTTATTAGATGACTCCTAATCTCTTACATATACTTAACGCTTCATACTTTGCAAAGGGCTTGCATGTGTGTGTGTGTGCGTGCACGCGTGTGTGTATGTGTGTATACGTGTGTTTAAAGTTTTCAAGTCAGTGTTTTTTAGTATATTCACAGGGTTATATAATCATTACCACAACCTAATTTTAGAACCTTTTTTATCACCCCAAAAGAAAACCTGTATTCATTAGCAGTCATTTTTCTTTTTTTTTTTTTTTGAGTTGGAGTCTCACTGTCGCCCAGACTGGAGTGCAGTGGTCGCTCCTGGCCACCGCAGCCTCCACCTGCTGGGCTCCGGTGATCCTTCCACCTCGCCTTCCAAGTAGCTGGAACTACAGGTGCACACTACCACGCCCAGCTAATTTTTTTTTTTATTTATTGTAGAGATGAGGTCTCGCCAAGTTGCCCAGGCGAGTCTCGAATTCGCGGGCTCAGGCAATCCACTTACCTCAGCCTCCCAAAGGCGCGGGATTACAGGCCAAGCCACCAAGCCCGGCTAGCAGTCATTTTTCATTTTTTCCTTATCCCAGCCCTAGACAACCACTAATCTATGTTGTCTTTATATTTACCAATTCTGGACATTTCATATAAATAAAATCTGGCATTTTTTACCTCTTGGCATGATGTTTTCAAGATTCATACATGCTGTGACTTGTATCAGTACTTTTTCTTTTCACTGCTGAATAATACTCCATTTTATGGGATATGTCACATTTTACTGAACACTTGACAGGTATTTGGGTTGTTTCCACTTATTTTAATTTTTTTCGAGTACAGGGACTTTATTGATGGTACATGATGAGGTGGGGCTCCCTAGGTCCCCTCTCCCATTCTTCAGGGAGTCTGCATAGATACTGTGAGAAGGGGAGATTCTCAGTGTGGTTGGGGACTGAGTGTGGCAGGGACTCCCCAGCCAGCATTTGAGGGCTTCTCTCTTCCTCTCATGCTCTTGCTGAGGCTGGTGGTCCAGGGGCTTTTACTCCTTGGAGGTCATGTGGGCTATGAGGCCCACCACCTTGTTGCTGTAGCCAAACTCATTATCATACCAAGAGATGAGCTTGACAAAGTGGTCATAGAGGGCAATGCCAGCCCCAACATCAAAGGTGGAAGAGTGGGTGGTACTGTTAAAGTCAGAGAGCACAACCTGGTGCTTGGTGTAGCCCAGGATGCCTTTGAGGGGGCTATCGGATGCCTGATCAGCACCTTCTTAATGTCATTCTATTTGGCAGGCTTCTCCAGATGCCAGGCCAGATCCACAACACACACACTGGCAGTGGGGATACAGAAGGCCATGCCCGTAAACCTCCTGTTCAGCTCGAGAATGACCTTGCCCGTGGCCTTGACAGCTCTGGTGGATGCAGGGATGTTGTTCTGGAGGGCCCCATGGCTGTTGCACCACAGCTTCCCAGAGGGGCCATCCACAGTCTTCAGGGTGGCAGTGATAGTATGAATGATGGCCATGAGTCCCTCCATGATGCCAAAGTTGTCATGGATATCCTTGGCCAGGGGAGCTAAGCAGTTGGTGTTGCAGGAGGCATTGCTGACAAACGTGAAGTTGTTCTGGTACTTCTCATGGCTTACACCCATCACAAACATGGGGGTGTCGGCGGAGAGGACAGAGATGGTGACCCTTTTGGCTCCCCCCGTGAGCCCCAGGCTTTCCCAAAGTAGTGAAGACACTGGTGGACTCCACTACATAATCAGTGACAGCATCGCCCCATTTGATTTTGGTGAGATCTTTCCCCTGGAAGATGGTGATGGGATTTCCATTGATGACAAGCTTCCTGTTCTCAACCTTGACAATGCCATGGAACTTGCCATGGGTGGAGTCGTACAGAAACATGTAGACCTTGTAATTGAGGTCAAGCAGAGGTCATTGATGGTGACAATATCCACTTGGCCGGAGTTAAAAGCAGCCTTGGTGACCAGGCACCCAGTACGGCCAAATCTGTTCACTCTGGCCTTCACCTTCACCATGGTGTCTTGAGGGCGCGGCTGGTGCTGCGAGAGGCGACTGTCTGTCAAACGGAAGGAGCAGAGAGCCCCTGTTTCTTACCTATCTTGGATAATGCTGCTGTGAGCATTCATGCATAAGTTTTTTGGTGGATATATGTTTCTTTTTTGTTTGTTTGAGTTGGAGTCTCACTCTGTCGCCCAGACTGGCGTGCAGTGGCCGCTCCCGGCCACCGCAGACTCGACCTGCTGGGCTCCGGTGATCCTTCCGCCTCCGCCTTCTAAGTAGCTGGAACTACAGGCGCGCACTACCACGCCTGGCTAATTTTTGATTTATGTAGAGATGAGGTCTCGCCAAGTTGCCCAGGCAGGTCTCGAACCCGTGGGCTCAGGCAATCCACTCACCTCAGCCTCCCAAAGGCACGGGATTACAGGCTGAGCCACCGAGCCCGGCTATATTTAACTTTTTGAGGAACTGTCAAACTTCATGTGTAAATTTATAGTTTTACTGAAATATATTTTCCATAGCATAAAATTCATCCATTTAAAGTGTACAGTTGAGTGGTTTTTAGTATATTCACAGGTTTGTGCAGCCATCATCACAATTTAATTTTAGAAATTTTTCATCCCCCCAAAAAGAAACCCTATACTCATTAATCACTCTCCATTCCCACTCCCCCATGTGTGTACCCAGGCAACCACTAATTTATTTTCTGTTTCTGTATACTTGCCTATTCTAGATATTTCATATAAATTAAATCATGCGATCTTTGGCCTTTTATGGCTGACTTCTTCCATGTAGTGTAATATTTTGAAGGTTCATCAAATCACATATATCAGCATTTCATTCATTTGTGTGACTGAATAATATTCTGTTGATGGATATATCACATTTAGTTTATCAGTTGATGGACATTTAGATTGTTTGCATTTCGGGCTAATGAATAATGTTGCTATGAACATTCACGTACAAGTTTTTGCTGTGTGTGTTTTAATTCAGTCTTCTCGGCAACCCTCTATGTTAAACAATGGGACAAGTGGTAATAGTCCCTTTTTACAGATGAGACAACTGAGGCTAAGTGATTTGCTCAAGGTCAAATAGCAAGCCAAAGGCAGATCCAGGAATGGAGCCAAGTCTCTCAACTGCTAGACTAGTATGTTTTTCTGTCACATATACCACACCATGTAGCTTTTGTTCTACGAAATGTTTGAAAGTATTTTTGAAAACTAGTCATAGGGTGTGACACTGAGTGATGATGGAGCCTTGAATCACAGCAGTCTAGGCCTAGGAATCAGCCCTGACCAGAATATAGATGTAAAACACATCCCACTTACCAAAGGCGATTACCATCTGAAGGGAGCAGGTTTCAGTGAGCAAAATAATGTAGCATGGAACCCAAGTTGGCTGAAGCTCCTGCCTCCAGCTGATGAGGAAAGTGAGGTAACACTTCCTGGAACCTCATCTGATAGGGCACAGGCAGCTCATCAGAATGATGGCAGTGAGACTAAGCGGGAGGAGGGAAGGTTTCCAGGGACATTCTGCCTTCAGAGTCCAAAATGGGAAAATCTTATTCCAGAAAATGGGTCTTTGAATTCAAATTTGTCATTATTTTTCCTGAGATAAGCAAGAAAATCTTGATTGAAGTTTTAGGTTTTTAATGGTGCACTATATTAGTTCCCTAGGGCTTCCATAACAAATGAGTACATTAAAATAACAAAAATGTATTCTCTCTCTAGAGACTAGATATTCATAATTATGATACAAGTGGTATTGGTTCCTTCTGGGTACTCTGAGGGAGAATGTGTTTCTACCTCTCTTCTAGTTTCTAGTGGCTACCACCAATCCTTGGTATCCCTTAGCTTGTAGATACAGCTCTCTAGTCTCTTTCTCTGTCGTCACGTGGCATTCTCCCTGTCTCTGTGTGTCTTGTGTTTATAAGGATACCAGGTCAGTGGATTAGGGCCTACCCTCATCCAGTATGACCTCTTCTTTTTTTTTTTTTTTTTTTTTTTTTAGTTGGAGTCTCACTCTGTCTCCCAGGCTGGAGTACAGTGACATTCTCACAGCCACCACAGCCTTCTTGACCTGCTGGGTTCAGGTGATCCTTCCACCTCAGCCTTCCAAGTAGCTGGAACTACAGGCATGCGCCACCATGTCCGGCTAATTTTTTGATTTATTGTAGAAATGAGGTATCACTGTTGCCCAGGCTGGTCTCGAACCTGTGGGCTCTGGCAGTCCTCTCACCTCGGCCTCTCACAGTGCTGGGATTATAGGCATGAGCCACCGTGCCCGGCCCATGACCTCTTCTTAACTAATTATATCTACAGAGACTCTGTTTTCAAATAAGGTCACATTCCAAGGTTCCAGGTGGACATGAGTTTTAGGGTGACACTATTCAACCCAGCGTGGACACCAAGGAATAATAACATATATTCGGCAGTGATCTTTCAAAGTTGTAGGCAGAAGTGGGATTTTTTTTTTTTTTTTTTAAGTTGGAGTCTCACTTGTTGCCCAGGCTGGAGTGCAGTGACCGCTCCCGGCCACCACAGCCTCGACCTGCTGGGCTCCGGCGATCCTTCCGCCTCAGCCTTCCAAGTAGCCAGAATTACAGGCATGTGCTACCACGCCTGGCTGAGTTTTGATTTACTGTAGAGATGAGCTCTCGCTGCCCAGGCGGGTCTCGAACCCACGGGCTCAGGCAATCCACTCACCTCAGCCTCCCAAAGGCGTGGGATTACAAACTGAGCTACTGAGCCTGGCTCAGAAGTGGGATTTTGACAAGATTTAATGCCAAAACAGCTTTGAAAGAACTGCTCTGGAACTACAGACCTTAGGTGGAGCTGACTGGTTTCATAGACATGGCTTGGTGCTATTAGAGTAGTGACTTAGAGAACTGATTGGATGGTAATGGAGCACTTCACTGAGACAGGGAGCACAGAAGTGATGAGGAGTTCAATTTAAGTTGTTGAGCTTGGTCTGCGTGTGGGACATCTGAATGGAAATGCCCAGCAGGTGAATAGATATATGACAAGGAGCTAGGGATTAATACTTAAGAGTTGCCATCACATAGGTGGTAACTGAAACTGTGGCAAGTGGACAGGATTCCCTGGGAGTGACTCGAGCTGAGAACAAGGCTATAGGAGGATCTCAAGCAGAACCCTGAATAATGCCTTCATTGAAGGGGTGGGCAAAGAAAGCGATATCCAAAAAGACGACAGAGAATACAAATTCTCACCAGAGACTTTCTTTTGCGCTTCCCTTCTTAGACAGCCACGTGTGTTTATTTCCTGGCGCCATGGCATAAACCCTCTCTCCTACACTATTAGAGAGTCCATCTTGCAAACCTAATAAAGTAATGAAGCCATTGATTCTGTTAACAAATGTCGAGTTCACTATGAGACCTGTAATGGGAATTCACTTTGGAGGTCAATACAGCTGTCACTGGAACAGTTTTTCCCCAGAGGCCCATAGGCTTTTCCTATTATACACTGGCAACTTTAGAAACTGGAGAGTAATTAATGCTGTGGAGCGTTAATGAGCTGGCGATCCTGCCTAGGGCCACGAGAAGAGTACAGCCTGAAATAGGTCAGATGACAGGGAGTAGAAGAACTAGGTACCCTCTGATATGATCTGAATAACCCTAGAAAACCGCTGTCATTACCACCTAAACATTATCCCGCCAGCTATCACTACCTAAAATTACATCTTTTCACTTTTATTTCTTTTGAACAAGAAGTTACACCATTGGATTTCTTGAATGCTAAATGAATATTTTTGCTTGTTCTGCAAACACAAACTAAGAACCTACTATGTACCTGGCCTCTAGTAGATAAATGCTGGGACTGTGGAGGTAACAACATCACAGTCACTGTTGTCAGAAGACCACGTGCTAGACAAGGATGCAGAATGACCATGGATATAATGGAAGCATGGGCTAAGTGCTGTTGGCACACAGAAGAACTGAGTCCAGGAAGGTTGTGGAGGGAATATGATATCCGTGTAGGATCTTAAAGTCTGCATATGAGTTTGCCAGCAGAGTAGAAGTGAAATCCAGGTGGAAGGAACAGCATACGCCAAAACAAAGAATCATAAAAGAGGCTGGTGTGTTCAGGAACTGATGATGCTTCCATATGCCTTTTTTAAGGGTAGAGAAAAGCAGGAAATAGGTCAGACTGTGAAAAGCCTAGTATGTTATGCTAAGGAATTTGGACTAAACTTAGTGATCCAGCCAAATGAATAATGCCCTTGGCTTGGGGTGTGGCACTCTAAGCTATTATCTGTCCTTAATACCTCACTTCCTTTCTAGCACAACAGAGGAGAGTTTGAGATAAGAGTTGAGAGAGAAAAGACCTACAGAGAGTGGTGGGGAGTGGATAACATAGCTGTCCTTGGAGGACTTGGAAGGGCAGACAGGAGGAGCTAAGGTCTAGTCTTAAGGGACAGCTCAAAATACATTTGTGTTTTTATCATTAATGCAGTGAGGCACAGTCCAGGGCCTCAATTAATGAGTCTTCACCAGCCTGGGCAACTTGACAAGACCTCATCTCTATAATAAATTTAAAATTAGCTGGGTGTGATGGTGCACACCTGTAGTTCCACCTACTTGGAAAGCTGAGGTGGAAGGATCACCTGAGCCCAGCAGGTTGAGGATGTGGTGGCCACTACACTCCAGCCTGGGTGACAGAGTGAGACTCCAACTCAAAAAAAAAAAAAAAAAAGTCTCCCTGGGAGCCACCAAAGAGGAGAAAGGTGGTAGTACTCACTGCTCCAGAGGCTGCCCTTGCCTGAGGGTCAGGGTCATACTTGTGGGCCATGGGTAGCCACGCCTCCTGAAAGTGGAGCAGAGTTGACCCCAGATTGTGATAGGAAGTGGCCTCCAGGCCACTCCAGGTAGTACAGATGTACAGAGCATCTCCTCTTCAACCTAGATAGCCAGTAGGCCCCAGCACTCCTCTGGGAGGGTAGAGAGGGAGCGAGTATATGAGAAGCAGAGGATACTACTGCTGGAATATTGTCTCTGTTC